TATATATATATATAAGAGAAAAAAGTTTATCCTTTTTTATAATTTGTATGTATTATTTGGAACATATTTTTATTCTACCCAAAATTTGATCCACTGATTTGGTAGTGCCTATTTCAGAATCTGTTGTTGGTGTTGTGTTTTTGTTTTTTGTTGTTTTCTCTCACTCACTCTAAGACATTGTATATGTTGCTGCGCCTCTGCTCAGTCGTCTATTTTGCGTCTCAGTAAAAAACACATTACAAATTAATCCACTGATCCATAGAATTAAGGACTTTGTAGTTTATAAAATAAGAAGGGAGGTAGTGGTCAGCAGTTGCATTTGTTGTGTATTGTTGCAGGAACGTCCCCTTTCAACAGAGCCATGCTCATGAATGTAGGATTTGTGGAAGCCCTGAAACTATACGATTTCCAGTGCTTCATCTTCCACGATGTGGATCTTCTCCCAGAGGATGACAGAAATTTGTACACATGCCCAGAGCAGCCGAGGCATATGTCAGTGGCTATTGATGTGTTCAGATACAGGTATGTGTTAAGTGTACAAGGAGGAACAACAAACAGAAACCTAGTTTCCTTAGTCTGTCAAAAAAAAAAAAAAAATCACAAATAAATAGAAAAAATTGTGTTCGTTTCTCGCCCCTCCCTCACGCGCTCTTCCCTTTCGCACGCTCTATCTCTATCCCACGCACCTTCTCTCCCTCTCCCCCTCTCCCTCCCTCTCCCTTCCTCTCCCTCTCTCTCCCTCTATCTCTCCCTCTCTCTCCCCCTCTCCTTCTCTCTCTCCCTCTCTCTCTCGTTCTCTCTCCCTCTCTCTCCCTCTCTCTCCCTCTCTCTCCCTCTCTTTCCCTCTCTCTTTCACCCGCTTTCACTAAATATTTTTTATATTATCAATCTCATAATATATAGCATTTTTTAACTATATTTGTGTCTATAAGTACCATGTATTTTGGAAATTAATTGTAAGCTATTTGTTTTACTTTTGTGTTACAGATTACCTTACCCAGACATTTTTGGAGGTGTGAGTGCAATGACAAAGGCTCAGTTTCAAAAAGTGAATGGCTTTAGTAATATGTTTTGGGGTTGGGGAGGTGAAGATGATGATATGTCAAACAGGATCAAATATCACGGATTCCATGTTGCACGCTATCCCGCAAATGTGGCTCGTTACAAGATGTTAACTCACCGCAAGCAGCGAGCCAATCCTAAGCGGTATGAGATGTTGTACACCGGACGCAAGCGATTCAAAACAGATGGACTGAATAGTTTGAGGTAAGGCTACACATTCATGTTGGAGCAATTGTAGCAATAGAGGACTTGTTTGTTTAACCTGCTGCCATAGTCTCCCATTCCTAAGAAAAATTGTCACTTTTGTCAGTAACAATATAAACAATTTTATCGCTTAAATGGGATGTGTTATTTCATTAGACAAAATGTTTCTATTGAATTTCTTGAGAAGCTTCTGGCTGTATATTTATTGATTTAAGTTTAGTGACCCTTCAACTGCTAAGGTCATTGAAGCCCATGAGTGATGATTTTGTTCAGATGATATTGAAGATCTGATAAGATGAGTGATGAAGAAATATTAGAATTAGGAGGGAAATTGAGTGCCTTACCAAGAATTCCCTTTGCCCGCCACAAATTTCTTTTTGATTGGCCAGGTATCATACCCAACCCCGAGCACCAAAAGGGATGTATGCTAGATAAGGAATATATGTCATTACACCACAACCTACCTACAAATAAATAAAATAAAATAAAATAAAGTGATAATATAACAGTTACAGGTACAGTAATGTGGAGTTATTGACTCCGTTAAAAATCATTCAAAAGGAATAAATTTACAAGAATTGTTCTTAAATATTTTAGGCTTCGAATTTAAATCCTTCAAATGCCAAGGGGTATACCATGAAAAATGCAGTATAGTTTTATTAGTTTTACTGTAAATGATGTTTTGGTTTATCAGATTAAACATTATTATAAGTTACTTATTCTTTTTTGGGTGATTCTAGCAATGTATAAGTAACATAATATAACTGAAGACAAGTTTACTTCAACACTCTTACAAATTTCTTCTCCGGCATATATCATATTAGGAAAATGTGATAACAAGAAAATAAAAAGTTTAATGGAAAACTATTATAAGACTACTACCCAAGAAATTGTTGTTTGTTTTTTTTCATTAACATTTTTCAGATTAACTAAGACACAATTATAAATAAATTAGAATTGTAAATTAAATTGGAAATAATAGCAATGTGTAATGGAGAAAATGTTTAGGGTAGCCCCTTGGTAATTGAATGATTACATTGGGAAATTGCTTTCAGATATGAAGCTTACACCACTAAAACTTCAAGAAAGGGTATAAGAATTTTTTGAGTAAATAAACTTGATTTTTGTAGTTTTTATTATTATTGTTGTTGTTGTTATTATTATTATTAATTTTATTGCAAGTTATCAATAATAATTTAACTCTAAAACATACAACTTATAAAACAGACCAAACTCAAGTAATTCATAGTAATTTGAACTAACACTTCACAGTATTAATATACCTCCATAATCCTCTTCAACCATCCAGCAGTTCATACTTTAATTGTACATTTTTTTTTTCTTCATTAGTTTAGGAATGTTGAGAATTATGGGGTTGGTAGTTGAAGGTGGGCAAAATTTGTCCTTGGAAAGTCTGGAGTGGATTCTTGTTAGTTGATGGTCAAATGTTGAAAAATGTTTTGGGCAGGAAGAATACGTAATTTTGAGTAGAACCTCTCTGAGAGTAGGGAGATCGTTGGGAAATTTAGGTCTTTATGAATATGGTTCTTGTACCAGAGTGCATTTACTACTATGTGCAGGACTTTATTTTTAGAAATTTGGAGATGTTTAATTGATGAACACACTGGGCCAACCAAGACTGGGCAAAGTGTAGCTATGTTTTTGTATGCAGGGAAGATATCTTATTTATTGTAAGATAAAATTTACAGAAAGCAGTGTGTGATAAATTTAAACTGGAGAGAATGTGGGGTTTCCATGACAGTCAGCTAATAAAACTTGGAGATATGCACAGAGGTGTGCTGCATGTGGGTTTATATGGAACGATGCTCCCGTCCTCCTGGCTAGGGTGTAGTTTCTCCCCCCGGGCAGCCAAGTTTCTATTGACTCTGGGTGTGGAAGCCTATGTTTTCAAGATTTTTAATGATATTGTTTGTGGGTGTGTAGAATATCTTAAATGTGGGCATTTTGGGGATGACTTGAGGCAAGCGTTATGGCTTCACACTTTGATGGGTTCGAACTTAATCTCCGATTCTCAGATCATTTGTAGAAACTTTAAAACAACTACAAGAATGATGACTATCCTTTAATGTTCCCAAAAAATACTGAAGTGACAGAGCTTTTCTGGTTGTTGGTTGCATCAATTGCGAGGAATAAGATAAGGCATTATGTAAACAAACACAAATGAAGATCCTTTTCAAAGCTAGGTATTGTTGCATATCGCCTTGGAGTTTCACATACCAACGTTTGGGAACCATTGTTATAGAGGTTATTGCAAGGATATCTTAAATATAGTAGAAAAAACCTATACATATCTATATCTAGATATAGATATATATTGCATATTGAATATATGAGAATATATATCTTCATACATTATTTGTCTTGGTATATTTATTGGTAAAAGAAAACAACTTGTTTTCTGGATAGATTTCTGGAAGTTGACAGAATGCTTCTGCACCAATGGTTTAATATTTTTATTGTTCAGATATGCACGTAAGGAGCTGAATCTCTATCATACATACACACGTCTTCTGGTGGAACTGGCATCTCCCAGCTGATGGAGCGCCATCGCCAGGCTGTGGCGCGGTTAGCGCACGCTTGGTGCTTCCCAAAGCTGTGCATTGGGCAGGTGAGTGTTCCACAGTGAAGTGTACCTATGCATACTAGACATGAGTTAATGTTGTTTGCTGTGAACCTGTAAAAAATATTTTTCTGAAAATAAAATGTATTGGTGGTTCAAACCCAAACAAAGTGGATTTTAAGTGGCAAAATTCTTTATGTGTTTCCCTTTGGAGGGAAAGTAAAGTTAGTTGTCCCGTGTCACAGATTTGCAGCCAGTAAAAGAGCCACGTGCCTAAATGATTGCTCTGAGGAAAACTCAGAAACTTATTATAGTATCAAATTCATGGCTCTGATAGAGATTGTTAATCTTCTTTGGTTGCTGTCAGATATACTCAGATTTCTTATATAGAATGTTTAACTTTCTGTTTATCTAATCCCAAATTTATATTACAATCTTAAAGCAGTTTTCCCACAATTTTTCTAATTAAGTAAGATCAGAATTACCCACATTATGGAGTAAAAACCAAGCAGTTTTTTTTCTTCTGTATTTTAGCTCTTTACACTGTTCTGTGGTTAAAACCAATCAGAACTTTAGTTTTTATATATAATTTCTATTAATGCAGTTAAGTTGGCTAACCTTTAATAACAAATATTATATCTCAAACAAAGAGTAGTTCATGGAGTTACAAGCACAACATCCTTACAAACAGATTGATAAAGATATAAAAAGCAATCAAAAACACAAATAAAAAGAACTAAAAGTTATCAAATTAAAGTCTTCATTCAACATTGATATCTTCCATTTTCAGATTTTTATCCTTCAGGTGATGAATTTTCTTGTTCACTTTCTGTTTCCATCATTTCACTGTTTTCTTCTGCTGTTCAAGAAACGTCTTCAGACTCTTCTCCCCAAATCTCTAAACATAATTCCTTTACCTGGAGGTATGTTCAAGCGTTTTGCTCTCTCTCTGTAAGCAGATGAGAGCTGGATCTCTCCAACACTTGCTTTCTGAAGGTGGTGAAGAAGTTGTTGTTAGCAAACAGCTGATACTGGTCTTGGATGTATCAATTATTCTCTTGAAATGATGATTGTCACTTTCAACAATAATTTTTACTTGTCCAGGATTGTTTGTAAAGTAGCTTTCCTAGAAATTTTAATGTTGGAAGTGAAGGAGTGAGAGAAATGCCAAAATTATCAAAGGATACTTTCTTTGTTTCCTTAGGTACAGCAGCTCCCCTTTATTTAATATTCTGAACCAATCTATCTGAAAGTTCTTTATGCTGACTCAGAAATGCTTTCACCCATTCTGAACCAGGCCTATTGCCTTTGAAGTGTTTTTCAATTTTAACCAAATTTTACCAAAACAATTTAAATATTCTTGAACAACATGGCATTAATCCCTCAATAAGTTGCATTTCTTCATTAGACAGCAATGGAGGCTGTCTATGTATTTTGAATTTATATTTATTTTTCAGTTTATCATTTAGTGTTGTGTACAGAAGAGCATACTTCTCAGATGCCTTGGATTTACTACAAACATTTTCCTGCACATCATGGACTGCCCTACTTAGGATGTCCAGTTATAATTTTATTTCCTCCCGGGACCAAGCTTCTTTTAATAAAGTCTCACCAAGATCAGATTTACCATACAAAGTAACACATTTGTACATCTAGGTTTGTCAGCCAAACAGTTATTGAAATATGCATACTACAAAGCTAAATAACTGTCTAAAGAACAGAGCATTTACCTATGCAAACATTATTTTCACTTTTATCGAACAATTGGTATGGTAGTTTGTTTTGACCCCAGAGTAACCTGTACAAAATTTTCAACAACAAGCCAAATAAAAGTAAATAGGAGTTTTGGATTTCAGATACTGCTTTATGTATTTAAAGTATCAAAGTGTGAATGATGTAAATCTTACTTATTAGATCATTTCTTATCCACTATCAATTTGGAGAAAATATGGTATGAATTGCAGGACTTGTTTGTGATTAGAAATTGCATTGCTTCATGTTTCGATTATCATTTAAGGACATAATTTTGTTTTCATGTTATGCAACTTACTGTTTTATTCTTCTCTATCCTTTTCCATCATTTACCATACCACACAAAAGCTCAGAACTCATTTGTAAATGTATTATTATGATGTGTTTTAATACCACTAATACATTTGCTCATGTACATGCACTCAATATATTTTATTTCATGAAAATCATTAATTTAATATTACTCTTGATCTAGTGACATTCATGCTGTAATGTATTTTTTTCTGTAAAATTTGCCATACTTGTCATATACCAGAAGTTACTAATACAAAACAAGCTTTCCTTGATTGGAGTTAGAAAATATTATCTCGTGTTGTCATTCTGAAGTATTTTTGACTCCTTTTGCACTTTTTATTTTCATAATTATTATTTTTAATTTTTTTTATTTAAGGTTGCATCATTTAGGTCATCATATTGCATGTAACAGTGTGGTAACTGTGAAGACGTCATGAAATGATGATGATAGGAGGTGAAAGGATGAACACAATTACACATGCTGACTTTGCACATTCCTGTGAATGCTCGATCTTTAATTCAGTGTTTAGGTTACTTTTTTATTGCATTACTTTCCTTTAGTTAATTAATATTTTTTATATTCTTATATCATTTTCTTACATAATTTATATCCTCTCACCAACAGTTATTAGAATTAGAAAAGTTCTTTAATTAAAATTCCATGTATGTAATGCATTATACTTGGTGTTTTTAGGCACCACACAATATGGCAAAATTTAATGTTTTATATATAAATGTTACTGTCGCAGGATGCTGTCAAAAGAAGTACTGCATTATGGCAAGGATGGATATCTGCAGTTAATTCTGATGGATGTTTTTCTGAACTGGCCAGCATTCACCTGGTTCAGTTATTTGTTTGAAAAAGATGTGCAATATACAAGCCTTGTGAGTTGTAGATAGTTAAACTGAAATTGACTCAGACTACTCAACAATGAAGAAATTCTGTACTGTTTTATATCTTGCAAAAACTGAATTTTTTTAAAACGTAAGTTTTATGAAAAACTGCGCGAGTTGATGATCAATTGAAGGTTCTACAGGACTTTTGTGTCAAGTTGAGATACATGTACTGAAGTAAGCAGCAGGCCTGTTTGCATGGAACTGTGAAGTGAAATACCTGTAAACAGAAATGAGAAGAATATATCTACTAGTCGACGAGTTGGGCTGTGTCTAGTCTACTGTGAGATATTAGTTAAAACATTGAAAAAGGCGCACTGCACTCGCACCTTCAACAGACTTACAAATCGTTACTTTGTTACTGGATTTTCAGTGCAAGTGTATATGTGCGTGTATGAGTGTCCATAATGATTATACATTACTTCCCTTGTAGTCTAGAATAAGGTTTTCTTGGAAATGCTATAATTTGTGTTTTTGTTCTGTTGATTTTATTAGTGTGCAGAACCTAGGATATTGGGTTGCTTTCATTTTTATTTCATGAAATTTACTTTTTTGTATATAAGGCAAACCTGTAGCATGTTGGAGTTCAAAAACAGGTTTATGTCTTTGACTTCATTGTAAAGCCAAGTGATATTTGGAATCACTCTCAGGAACATTGTCCCAATGTGTGCGCTTCCACTAGATTGTGGTTTCTTGTGACCCAGCACAGCCACCAAGGTTGTTGGCATGGCTGAAAAATTAAAAATGTTTTAATGTCTTTTGATAAAGCTTTGTATAAGAAGCCACTCACTAGAGGTACGATAATTGATTTTATTCATCCTAACAGCCTGAAGCTTACAAGAGATTACTGAATTTGTGGGTTTAACTATTTTAATTTTTAATTTTTGTTTAATACTGCATTTGTTGAGACTTCTATATATTGTACAGGTTTTCTGGTTTAGGAATTTGTTGTTGATGTTTTTTTGTTTCTTTTTTTTCTGTTTAAACTCTACTGACTAGAAAAATGAGAAATTTATTACTTGTGCATGTAAATTTCTTTCAAATACCCATGTTTTTTTAGGAGGCACGAAATGTGATGAAAAAATTATTCACAATAGATATTCAAAGTCTTTGCATGTTCTGTTTTGAGAAATTAAATTGAAGTAAATTTTCTTTGCAAGATGTTCAATAAAATCATCATTATTTTCTTGTATTTTTGTGTGTAGAGCAGAATAAATGAGTTTAACATTAAAGTTTTAAATGTGTAAGATGCAACTCTCTCAGTTATCAGTTTTACTGATTGGAAATGTCTCAAAAAGAAACATGGGGTTTGAGGTGAGACTTGTAAATTAATCTCTTTGGAATCTTGTGATATGAAATGAGATTTTAAAAAAAAAATATTCTGAATGCTTAATAATATTATATGGTTGGTATTCTCAAAATCCTTTCATACACAGATGCTAGAAAAGGTACTTTTGAAGGTAAAGTACATGAAGTGGCATTCTCAATTTTTTTATTTTATTTTTAAGGGTTTAACAGAATATAATCTCACCTCAGTATTGCTTTAAATTATATTATATTGCTCAATACATTAATGGTTCATAAAAGGAATTGTGATTATGGTTTTGACCTCCTTTCCTATGAGGTACTCACTGCAGTCAATATCACTGAGTACCTATTAATCTTTTTATTTATTCACTTCCTTTGCATTCATTTTTCATGGATCTGTTTGATTTACCTAATTTTGTTATTTTTCTTGCAATTTATTGTCAACATTTTCAAGAAAAAATTTTAAAACCATAAAATTTTGGAAACAAAATGGTGGACTCTAAAACATCTAAATTTTGATAAGAAATTTTGATAATCTACGAATCATGCCATGTGTCAAAACTGTGGCAGGAAAATTAAATTTGCAAGTACATCTTGTTTGATTTGTATTGCTATGATATTGAAAGCATCTAAATATTTGAAATTCGCAGCAGATAGTTGAAACTGCTTCAGTTCTTTTTTATGGTAAATTTCTATTTATACATATCTCTTAGGCATTAGAATTATGAAATAGTGTATCAACTTGTTATAGAATCTATTCAGAAGATTTTGTATGCCATTTTTTGGACATTGTTATAGTTGATTGTGGCCAAATGATTCTGCAAATTTCTCAGAGAGTTGAAGTGATGTTGTGCTGAAACTTCTTAGTCAAACCCATTCTTTCCACTGGAGATATCGTGTGACTGAATGAATATTACTCAGTTTTAACGAGATACTTTATTTCTTTTTACTCTCTTTTTGTATGTTTGAATGCATACATAACAAATTAAGTATCAGAATATCAACCATTAGTTTTATAAAAATTAAAAAGAGGAACTTTTATGAATCTCAAACACCTGAATGTTCCCATGTTTGTTTTGTAAGGGTTTATATTATAATGAAGGAGTGTTCTATTCATTGATCTTGTACCATACATTTTTATCATGAGATATTGTTTTGTTTATATACCTCCTTGATGGTGGATGGATGTCTTCTTGAAAGTGAATGAGAAAAAAAAGATATGTTCATTAAATATCTTTGGAAAACAGGGCATTACTAAGAGTTTGCGAAATGCATGACCACATCATATTTGCAGAGGTAAATAAATCCATAATAAAATTGCCCTACATTTCCTTATTATAGGTAAGCTAATTATTATTGTTTTGTCTGTTAGTTTTTTGGTTCATTACTACAGTGTTAATTTTATTATAAATTACAATTTCCAAAAATTATCAAATTTTTGCTGGATGTAGAATTTTCTCTTAAAATATGTTGGTTTTGGTTATAAGAAGAACTATCATTGTTCTTATTTTTGTTGTTCATTTATACCATACAGAACTTTTTAGAAAGTCATTTGATTTTCTAAATTAACACATTTACTATGTGTGAATAAAAAATGAGCTACAACAGGGCATAAAAAAATGATTACTCGATGTGTGCTGATTTTTCTGCCAATTAAAAAAGTATACCGACTCTGCAGGTTATTTTCCTCAATAAAGTACCAAGAAAGGAAGAACAAATTCTGGTTCAGGAAGTGGGTGCAACAAACCTGTAGATAGCTTATGGTATTAATTCATCTTGTTATTGTATTGTAGAAATGATAACAATATTCCTAGTGTCTACTTACATTTTATGTAATGAACCATGTACATAAATTCTTTTAATAATGCCTGTATTACTTTCTCCCAAAATGACCAAAAATGTTGTACTTTCAGTGTCATATATGTATGCAGATTGGATGTTATACTGTGATTATTATGTGTATTGGTGTTTCATGTAATGCCCCGGCCAAATGTACTTCAGAATAAGCGGAAGATTTACAAGTTTATTATATGAATGATCAATGTTTGGTGTCACATAGATATTCCTTGGGGAGTTTAACTTCAGGATGTTTTGTTGTTTGATGTTACAATAATGTTAGCACATCCATCTTGATCCTCGTTGTAGAAGTAGAGTTAGCTTAATAAGTATACTTGAAAGAAATATTATTTGAAGATTTTTCAAGATATTTTCCACTGTAGTTGAGTAACATCTGTTAAGTTAATAAATGATTTTTTTAAAATTAAATATGAAGCTGCTTGCTTCTGTTTTTTCAGAAATGTTTTAAAAATTAAATTTTGTGGAAGTAAATGAATTATCAGTATTATTTTAATGTCATCTTTAAAATGAATACAATGAAACTGTTGCATTTCGCATTTTGTCTCTAGACAGCTGTAGGTCAGTTTGCCTTGAGGTCTGACAAACTTCCTTTTATTGAGTAATTTGAGATAAACTGCATCTCCTTTCTTCCATTTCCTACAACAAAAGAAAATACAGTAAAATCTGTACAAGCCAGAAACTGCCTTAACTGGAAAATTACTTCTGCCCATAAAGTTAAGGGCTTTTTTACACAACTTAAAATGGAACCTATCACAGAAATGGAACAGTTTTGCATGTCCTATAGGAAAAAAAATTTATAAAATAGAAATCCTGTGAATTTAGTGCAATTGGCAAAGATGTGAAATATTCTTAAAGTAATGAATGCATCGGCAAGTCAATTTTAAATTCTCTATCCTATGTGTTTTAATCGTTGCAACTGCACTGTGAAGAAGAGGGGCTTCAGCTGACAGCATAGAATTCAACCTTGGTGGTCACTTGTGTCTCAAGGCATGGATCATAGGGGAATTCCCCCACCATCTCCCCCGCCAACACTCTAAGCGTGGGAAGGTGCACAAGCATGGTTTTTCTTCATATCTCTCCCTGCCCCACTTTCAAAATCGCAACCCCTCGGCCAGAGACACATTGCTCAAAGCCAGAAAAGGGTATCAGAAAATCATAACACTCGGGGCTGTGATGCTGTGTATGTTGAAAGAGTCAGCAAGCAGTCTGATTGCAGCGATTAGGCAGTGACGTGGTGTGTAGTTTTATGAGTTTCACAACCTGTTTAGCTATGTTAAAACCATAAAACTCCAACGTTAGATGAAAAGGTCTAACTTATTGACAAAAACTCAGAAGCTGTCAATAAATGTTTAATATACATTTATTTATGATTTCTTCCATAAATACAAATATGAAAATCTCTTTTAATAATCATTATAAAATCATGTAATTTTTACTTTACTTTAATTACTTCTTTACTTACCGACATTAATTTACTAGTTTCTGAACGGAAGCATTAATATTACAAGTGACATAAAATGGACAGTCTCAAATAAAACAGAAATCTCCCCAAACCGGAATATTTTTTTGTCTTCGTCGATACCGGCTTAGACAGATTTTACTGTACTAACAGAATTGTGTAACAGAGGATAATTTCTTTAAAGTATGTTTGAGCAATGATGTTATGTTCCTTGGAAAAGCTGTACAGATAGAAAAAATTGAATATGCCCAACAGCTCAAATGTTGACTGCTTCCTTTTCTGCGTAGCAGTATGGATATTACAAAAATCTTAGAATTGATATTGGTACATGTATTTTTACTTGGAATTTTTATTGGTATACAAAATAAAATACTTTATTAAAAATCGGTGAAGATAAAAAACCTTTATTATCACGATGTTTGTGTCGTAAGTCATCCTGAAATCTGATGAATTATTAAAATCTATAGTATTGTTACAAGCATGCATTTTGTGTGTCTGTAGGATTGTTTTCCAAATCAGACTTCCATTTGCTGTAGTGATTTATAGATTAATTTTCACTTGAATATCTCTTGGGAAATCTATTGTCTTTAGCGAATATCTCTTGGGAAATCTATTGTCTTTAGCACATAAAAATGATATTGTGCACTTTTTAGTGTACTAATTTAATTGATAATAACTTGGTGTGTGAGGCCAATAAATTGAAAAAAATCATTTGGAAGGTAACAGTTGAGAAAGGAAAGTATACAAATGCATCATTTTTATTTGGTAACCTCAATCCTCATATCATTTTCTAAATAATGAATGTCAAATTTGCATCTTTTGTTCCTATTCTCTTCAGACAAAATGAACATTTTTTTATCTCTTAATGAAGAATTTAAATCTCTTATTGTGTAAAACCTTCAGAAGTAACCAAAAATTATTCACCAGTCAATTAGTAACTTAATTGGAATGATTGACATTGAACAAATACTCTATTCTATAGAATAAAATATACTTGATAGATGTGAACTTGTGGCATATGTTGACATGTGAATTGTGTAGTGTGTACAAGATACTATAGATATATCTGAGGAAAAAATCAAAAATGAAGTTTTTTGTATTAGTAATCTGTTTTTCATCTAATTTTTTTTACAAAAGTATGGAAGTTTATTATTTTAAAAGAAGATAATCATACATAAAATGTAACATTATTATATGTTAAGGTCTATTTTCAGCAAGTTGTATTGTTTTTAATGTCCTAATATTCATTTTCTATTTTTAGCTATTCCTTGTTTTGAAATATGTAAAATAATTAATTTAAGAAAGTTAGGTTTCATTTGCCCTCTATGCAAGGAAGTTGGAACAAAAATATTGCACTTGTACAATATACGCAATGTGGAGTTTATTTATTATAGCTATAATTGGCGCTTCAAAAGTGGAGTGTATTGAAAACCTTTGCATTTCCATGAAAGGAAAGGACAATATTTTTGGATACAATAATGATTGTGCGTCATCGGTTTTGTGTTGCTTCAAGACCAAACATTTCTGGATATTTGAAATCACTTTGTATATCATATTTCTTTAAGATCTGTGAATATCGGGGCATATGTATGAATGCAACTACAACCCTCCCTCTTATTAGAATGGAAGCTGATGAAATTAAAGGCAATTATTTTGGACATAGGTGGATGAATTTCTTCTACATGAAAAATAATATTTATTAAATATTCAGTCAGATTTCAGTATAATTTGTAACTAGAAATGGTGTAAAGAATATTGTCTTGTGAAGAATTTTCTATTTGAGGGCATTTGTGGACAATGTTATACTTCTTTTCAATTTTTAGAATGTAAATAAAAAAACTAACCAAAGTCATATCAGATAATAGATAACATAGTAATAAAATAGATATAAAAGACAGTTCTAGTAAGCAAATGTTTCAAATTAAATATATATCTGTAATTGTATTGATAACTTTCAGTATTGAATACTAGGAACAAATTGTGATGAGGGTTGAGTAAATAATACATGTCTTATCATAATGGAAAACATAATTAGTGAGCTACAAGTAAAAATATTTGTATTAAAACATTTTTAAAAAGCCTTTAGAAAGTAGATTTTCGATCAAATATAATGCAAGCAATTATATTACATTTACATTTGTGATAAATGTCAAAATGATGGTTGTGAAGATAGAAAAGGATGCCCTCAATGATACCTACCACTCAAAACAAAGTAGAGCTGTTGGACACTTGCAATTCTAATACTTTGGAATGCAACCAAAGAAACTGAATGAATATTTTCTGACATTTTTGTTCATATTGTTCTGCTTAAAATTGTGGATTGTGTTTCGTTATAATCATGTTGAATGTTCATTAATTTTCATTTTAAATTGACATAAAATAATTTTATTCGTAACAATAAAATTCATCAACAATCCATTTGCCATTATTATTTCATATATTTAAAGACTTTAATTAAATATGAAATTAATTCAGTTTTGGTCAACTATCAACAATTCAACTCGGGGTAACAATAACTACCAAAAACCATTTATGGCACAAGTAACATAAGTAAGCATGAACAGATTTCTGTGTTATCTTAATTTAAGAAATCTCTCTTCTTCTTTACAGTTGAATATAATTATTAACACTGATTGTATTTTTTTTAATGAACAGGTAAATTGTAATTGCTGAAAAGAAATTAGTACAGTGGTTGTTATATTCTGCCTATTCACATCACTGAACTCTGAATCATCCTACAGATCTACCAAATTGTGCATATCTGTTTGTATCAATGTGTTTTACTTTGAAAACAAACTATTTCAAAGTGAAACCTGTAGTGCATTGTTACAGGTTTTGTAGATACTTCTGAAAATAAATGGATGACAAAATGACTTCCAGAAGTGAGTGGCAGAAAACAAATTCATGTTTTTGTACTAGGTAAATAAAACATTATATGCACAAAGTTTTTAAAAATAAATATGTTCTGTGATATTTGTGTAGGACATTACATTTCTTCCACAACATTATGTGAAATGAAAAGAATTTAAAACTCATTTTGGAGAGCATCATAACAAAAATAAAAGTGTTGTTTTGTGTGAGATTTATTTCCAATAAGTTCAAGAATTGCTCCTGCTATTGGTGAATTTTATAAAGTTGTGTTAATTATGAATCTTCAAAAACCTAACATAATTAAAGCAGCAGGGTAAAGTTTGTTTCCTCTGGAATGTGATATGTGCCTATATTTACTTGATACAGTGTAACATCATTTTGATGACATAAAATGGTAAATGTCTGGTGGATTATAATTATGTATACAGACAATTGTTGGTTCTCGTACCCAGAAATATTTTTTCCCCTTCAGTTGTAGAGATTTATGTTCTAGGAAGTGGTATATCAGTGTTCTACATTCTTGTAATATGTGTTAATGTAGCTGTAATCTGCATTATTTAATGCATGTTTTGTTATCCATGAGGAGTTTTCTCAAAATGAAGAGATTTTAATTTGATGTAGTGGTGTTTATGATTTTTCCTGACTATTTCCTTTTAGATGGGTTGTGTGAGAAATAGTTGCCTTTTTCTTGTATTCCTTCATTCCATTTTCCTTTTATATCAACAGTTCAAAAAAACTACTTTAGGTAACTACCCCACCCCTTAGACACACACTTACATGCACTACACTACCACACATGCCAGGAGACCGGTCGGGAGCTTAGAGCTTGTTCCGGCTGGGGCGGTGCCCCGCTGGTGAGAGATACCGGGTTGGGGAAACCCCCGCTAGCCGATAGGTAGGTTGGCGCCGGATCTCGCCGTACAGCGGGGGAAGACCACCGTCACCTCCCAAGTAAAAACATGCGCCATGCTTACGGGACTAATGATCCTTGTAGTTGACGCGCCCGGAATCGCTAATCAGTCAATTAATCCAAGCGCTCAATGCTCGAGAAGTGTTCAGCGATGCGTTGCGTCGACGAATTAAAATAAACAATCTTCCCCTACCTTTCCCCATAACACCCCATCTCATCCCACATCACCAGCTTCACCTTGTTCCTATGCCCATTCTCACCCTATTTTGCCCCGCGTCGCCTGGTCTCGCCACACCACACCCCTCCAAGTCTAGCCTCATGCCTATATCATTGTTGCTACGGATAGACGTGGTGTCTGTGCGCGCCCGTTTGAATTGGCGCGCACACGGCATGACATCGCGCCCTAAGGCAGCACACTCTAGCGGCAGCCAGCCGGGTTTGCTCGACCGGCCAGCCACCTAAGTTTTGCCCGACAATATATTCATTTTTTAAATTCAAATCCCCATAGAAATCTTTTTTGCCGTTTCCAATATTATCCTGGACAAATGGGAAAATGTGAAAACAATTGAATGAGCTTTTATGTAATGTAAATAAGGTATGAAATAAAAGTGTAGCCATTTTGAAACGAACTATCTAATTGTATTTAAATAGATGAAGAGTTGTAACTCTCGTTGCTCTGATTTTTATCACCTTCGTTTAGTGAGCAGGAATAGGAATGAATTCTAACAATAATTTACC